TGTCACTATATCGTGTGAACTCGACAATCGTGAAGTTCCTGAAATCTATCATGGGCAAATGGAAGACAACTCTTCGTGTCACTTCAAAAAATGAAACAATGGTTACCAAGGAAATAAATATAAAGCGCGGAATCTCTCAAGGAGATAGCCCTTACATGTTCTGCCTGGCAATGAACCCGTTATTGACACTCCTAGAGAAAAAAAGAAAAAAAGAAGAAATTAGTTTTCGAACTGAGAGGCACTGAAAGATTGCCCATTTGGCGTATATGGATGACATCAAACTCTACTCTGGTACGATGTGTGGCTTAATCATTAAGATGAAAGCTACTGAAGACTTCTCCAGGGACATAAATATGCAACTAGGCATTGATAAATGCAAAATACAACAAATACAGAACGGTAAACTCACTAGTGAGCTCACATACGAGACTGTTGATGGAGAAACAATCACTGCTCTGGACGCTGATGAGCTCTAAAAAATACCTTGGGATTGAGCAAGGAAATTGCACATCATCAACTGAAGGGGATACTGAAAACAGAGCTTGCCAACCGACTCAGATCAGTGTTAAAAACGACCCTCAACTCCCGAAACCTCACGGCTGCCATTAACTGTTATACCCATTATCACCTTCTTGATGGGTATTCTTAAATGGTCCACAATCGACCTAGAGGAATTGGAGAGACTAGTAAGGGTTCAAATGACGCTTCGGTTGTCACCATCCTAAAAGTGCGATAAAGAGGGTCACAATGCCTCGACAAATGGGAGGGCGTGGTATTGTGAAGTTCACGAATCTCCATGCCAAACAGATAATAGCCATGAAGTATTTTGCAGAAAAGGCAGGTACTTCTAGACTCCATAAGGTACTTGTGCAGGCAGATAACAATTACACGCCCCTGAATCTAAAACAAGATATGCAAGTTCAAGAGCTCTCATTGCAGCAAGAGATCGATTCCTGGAAACAGAAAGCACTCCACGGTGCATATCTTGCTGCAGTAGCCAATCCAAATGTTGACCAAGAAATGTTGTACATATGGCTCAGTATAGGATATTTGTACCTTGAGAGCGAAGGTTTCATGATAGCAATACAAGATCAGGTGATTCCCACAAAGAATTACCTAACATATATCATCAAAGACCCAGGAGTACTAACTAATGAATGTCGCATGTGTGGTCGAGATCATGAAACCATTCAGCATATTATATCAGGCTGTAGCTATCTAGCTCCCACTGACTATAAAGTGAGACACGATCAAGTGAGCCACATCATCCATTCCAAACTAGCTAAAAAACACAGGCTACCTCAGAAAGTGGATGCACCATACTACCATTATCAACCAGAAGCGGTACTAGAAAATGAGACACATAAGTTATACTGGGACCGCAGTATTCTGACAGACAGGACAATTCAGCACAACAGACCTGATATTACTCTTTGGGACAAATCTACAAAGAAAGTTTGGTTTATTGATGTTGCAGTCGTCAATACCAGTAAGATGATGACAACATACCAGACGAAAATCGACAAATACAGAGAACTAGTATTTGCCGTAATAGAACAATTGCTAGTGTCAGAAGTGAAAACTATCCGAATTGTACTATCAGCAACTGGCGTGATACCTAAAACTCTCTTCAGATCGCTGGAAGAACTCTGCTTGGAGAAGAGCATTATCATCGGCCTGCAGAAGTCGGTTATAATCAGTACCTGCTCACTAGTCAGGAGATTCATGGGAGGACATGTTGGGTTTTGAAAGCTCATTCTTGAAATTGTATTTGTTATTAGCATTTAAAAACTGTTATTTTATGTTTACATCTGAAAACAGTTATTTTATGTTTATGTGTTAGAATGCCTTAATTTGTTTTGTAAATTTTAAATATGTCTGTGTCACCATGCTTTGATATTGTATCAGTGTGCTATCCATGTGAAAACCAAAACTTTGAGAATAAACAAAATAATAATAATAATAGTATTAGTAATAATAATAGTAATAATAGTAATAGTAATAATAGTAATAGTAATAATAGTAATAATATTAATAATAATAGTAATAATAATGATAATAACAACAACAACCCTGTGTAATGTCGGGGATTTTAGTAGAATAGCGCCACGGGACTTCCCCCCTGTCGTAGAAGGCGACTAATCGCAGCAGCTGTCCGATGTCACCCCCCTAAACATCCCGTAATTCCCTCAAACTCTGTGTGTCATTGCTTCCACTTACTTGTGGCACAAATCTGTTTTCTGCTCTGTAGGCCAATCTTGTATCTGCCAACTCTTGTGTTTCCACCCCGACGCTATTAGGTTGCGAGGGCTAGGGAGTCGTTTCCATTCTACCCTTCTATTCTAACTCTGCCTTCTATGACAGTAGTGACGTTAAACCTGATAGACGAGCTAGAGGTGGTGTTGCCATATTGATCAGCAATACACATCCTGCTAGTCGTCTTGATCTCGACACACCTCTACAAGCTGTAGCTGCAACCATTGAAGACATTGAAGATGACGGTAGGTTGCATATACTTACCCGATGCCTCATGGCGAAAAGAAGATCTACAAGAAGACCTGATCGATCAACTACATACTCCATTTCTAATTCTAGGTGACTTCAATGCTCACAGTACCACATGGGGCTGTTCGAGGACAAATGACTCCGGTCGCAGAAACGATGACCTGCTACTTAACAACGAATACGTGCTTTTAAACACAGGAGCAAGCACTCATTTTAATGCTAGAAATGGCTCATTCTCAGCCATAGATCTCTCAATATGTAGTCCAAATCTTGCAACTCGGCTGACGTGGAAACCACTGCCAGATCTTCATCAGAGTGATCACTTTCCTCTGTTGATGTCATCAAACATGCCAAAGAAAAGCCCTCAATAGATATAACCGTGCACCCTCCCAAGACAATCTTTTTGCTTTAAAGCGTCCGCGTGCGCTCGCTCGTAGAAAAATACTAACAGCAAAACGATCAAGTTGGGAAAAGTACCTAACAACCATAACTCGGACGACCAAAGTCACGGAAATGTAGCATAAAATCCGGTCAATAGCTGGGGAAAATGTTTTTAGTCCTATCACATGCATTGAGCATGAAGGACAACTAATATGCAACCCTGACGAAATACTCAATGCATTAGCAACCCAATACTCCAAAGCCAGTGACAGCTAACCTAAAAACTTTCTCGAGAAAAAGAAAGAAGAAGAAGAACAAGTACTTGACTTAACAACCAATATAGATAAGCCATATAACTCTCTTTTCACATGGAGAGAATTGCAAGCCATAAATGCAGCTGGAGACACCGCAGCAGGATCAGACAATATCCCTTACAGCATACTACGTCGATTACCGAAGAAAATACTCTCAACTTTGCTAAACATATACAATAATATTTGGACACAAAGTAATTACCCCAAAGTCTGGAAAGAAGCGATAATAATTCCACTTTTAAAGACAGGTAAGGATCCATTAAATCCCGAAAATTATCACCCTGTATCGCTGACATGCTGTCTAGAAAAAATCTTGGAAAAAATGGTCAACACCCGGCTAACATGGTGTCGAAAGAAACAACCTCTTAAACATACACCAGTGCGGATACAGACAAAATCGCTCTAAAATCTATCAGCTAATATATCTGGAAAACGCAATTCAGAATACATTCATCAAAAGAAAACATATGGTTACCGTTCTTTGACCTGGAAAAAGCTTTCGATAAGACCTGGCGACATAACATTCTGAGACAGCTATATAACT